ACCTCTTGCCTAATATCTGGTACCCTGAAGTGATAATTCAACATAATCCTTGGATTTGTAAAGTGCATTCTATACATCTCCCCCCAACACAGAATACACTTTGGCATCTTGTACCTAATGCTAATGGCCTTTAGTCCAAGCTAAAAAATGCTGTCCCTGTGAGGACCATGACAGCCCCAGCCTACTCAGCTGGCCCTCTGTGACCACTCGGTCATAATCCTATTTCCTTTGCCTTAGCTCTTTCCCAGGGTGCCACCTCGCTTTTATATCCTGAAATACTTGAATATTTTAATATCATTTCCCTTTTTTCGGTGGACAAACTGACTTTCTGTCATCTTCAGCGAAGTCTGCAGAAATAGGATGTAGGCAGCCATGCTAATGAGATTTATGTTTCTGTGTTGCAAAAGAACCCTTTAGGTCAATGCTGTGTATTCAAAGCTGTGAGAATGACACTCATGAAAGGCAAACTCAGTCATTCACCTCCCTCAAGACACACAGCTCAATGTGTATCTAGTCACTGTAGTTACAGTTCACATATCACTATCTAGTTGTTTTTTAAATTTCTATTTGTTTATTACTTTGCATCATAACTGACAAATTAGTTAGTTGTCTTGGTGTCTAAAATGTGAAGTTTTAAAAGCCAGGTGAGCCAGCGCTGCGGCTCAATAGGCTAATCCTCCACCTAGTGGCGCCGGCACACCGGGTTCTAGTCCCAGTCGGGGTGCCGGATTCTGTCCTGGTTGCCCCTCTTCCAGGCCAGCTCTCTGCTGTGGCCAGGGAGTGCAGTGGAGGATGGCCCAAGTGCTTGGGCCCTGCACCCCATGGGAGACCAGGAGAAGCACCTGGCTCCTGCCTTCAGATCAGTGCGAAACTGGAGAGTGAACCAATGGCAAAGGAAGACCTTTCTCTCTGTCTCTCTCTCTCTCTCTCACTGTCCACTCCACTCTGCCTGTAAAAAAAAAAAAAAAAAAAAAAAAAAGCCAGGTGTTAGCTGGGATCCACTAAAAAAGCAAAGGGTTCATACTTCATGTGAATAACAAGATGTGATCATTTCAAGAATCTCCCTTTTTATTTATTTTGTAAAAGATTTCTTTATTTATTTAAAAGGCAGAGTTAGAGAGAGGGGGAGAGATGAGAGAGAGAGAGAAAGGTCTTCAGTTCGCTAGTTCTCTCAAATGGCCACAAACAGCTGGGATTAGGCCAGGCGGAAACCAGGAGCCAGGAACTTCTTCCAGGTCTCTCATGAAGGCACAGGGTCTCAAGCCTTGGGGTCATCTTCCCCTGCTCTCCCAGGCACATTAGCAAGGAGCTGGATAGGGAGTGGAGCAGTCAGGATTTCAACCAGCGCCCATATGGGATGCCAGCAAAGCAGGCAGCAGCTTTACCCACTACACCACAACGCTGGCCCTATAGGATCTCCCTTTTAAAAAAAATTTCTACCAGTATGTACACTATATCCCAGAAATGCTCAAAATGACAACCCTGGCCGGCACTGCAGCTCACTAGGCTAATCCTCCGCCTTGCGGCGCCGGCACACCGGGTTCTAGACCTGGTCGGGGTGCCGGATTCTGTCCTGGTTGCCCCTCTTCCAGGCCAGCTCTCTGCTGTGGCCAGGGAGTGCAGTGGAGGATGGCCCATGTCCTTGGGCCCTGCACCCTATGGGAGACCAGGAGAAGTACCTGGCTCCTGCCATCGGATTGGCGCGGTGCGCCGGCCGCAGCGCACCGGCCGCGGCGGCCGTTGGAGGGTGAACCAATGGCAAAGGAAGACCTTTCTCTCTGTCTCTCTCTCACTGTCCACTCTGCCTGTCAAAAAAATTTTAAAAATTAATAAAAAAAATGACAACCCTTATTTGCAACGCTACCTGCAATCTATAACATCCAATTATCATCTGACTTCTAATTTTTCACTCAGGAAATACAAAACCTTGCTGAATGTTTTCGATGACAATGCAAATTTCCTCCAAGACATCACACTTATCCAAAACCTGCCAAAAATTTATTGTCTTACCTCAAATGTGCCTTCATCCTGTGCATCTCAAACCCCCCTGAGTATAAGAAACACCTGGAAAACCCACTGGACCTCTACCTGTGCAGGCCCCATGCTTCTTCCAGGAGTCTGAGTTTCAATGTTACTTTATAGCAGCACCTCGGGGAACTCTGATACAAACCAAAGTGTGAGAATCCCTGGCTTACCACTTTGAGATATTACTCCCTCTATAAAGAAATATCTCATCAGTGTGAGTTCTGGGTGGAACCAAAGGATACGGGCATCAGACGTAGTAAAAGCAGACAAGTCCTGAAACCTTTGTTTCCTACCATATGCATACAGAGGTACCTTGTGGTTCTCACCACTCACAAAACACCCAGTAGACGGAATTCAAGAAGCCTGGTGTGGTGGGTGTCTCATTGCTCTTTGGGAATGGAATGGACATGACATGTACCGCCTCCCACCCACCCCCGCTCCTGAGAGGATAAGAATCAAGAATCTTCATTTAATAAATCCCTATTGAATTTTCCCATGACCCAACCAGGACTCTCAGCCTCTAGGTTTCCCAGCAATGCCTCAACCAATAAACCTGCCAGTTAAGCAACTGAGTGTCATTATTGTGAATGCAATTACAGACTGTAATTATGAGCTTGTAAATGCCTCTCGTGAATGGAGCCCTTTTCCCGAACCACCTCAGCTGCTTCTCTTAGGAAAGTGGAAGGCAGTCCTACTCCTGCCTCACCCCTGGCCTCCCTGACTGAGAAGAAACCCCCTCCTGCCGGCCCCAGGGATGTGCTGAGCCAGCTTTGCAGGCTGTGCCTGAAGCAGAGAGATCCCCTTGGAGGGGTGTTGCTTTTAGCATTTCTCATGCAAGCATTGTTTCTCTAGACAGTGGTGACTACCCAGTTGGGCTCTATTTCCTTGTTTCTGTTGGGGCAGGGGAATTAACGCCACATTTCAAGAATTTCTGTAGAAAAACCCAAAGTTGGAGGCTTTACAAAATGGCTGGAGAACTTTCACTTTGTTTCAGTTGAGCTTTAGAGGATGCAGTTTGCTCAGGATTTGGAGTTCCTGAAAATGAAGTAGATACGGGAGACATTCACATGGAAGACAAGGCTGGGAGACATTCGCATGGGAGACAAGGCTTTTCATGTGTGTGGAATCAGGCCCAGAATTAACCCTTGCACTCAGCAGCTTTATATCTAGCTCAGGAAAATCTCCAGCCCTCACGGATAAGAGGTACCTGAATGAACTCTACATAGATATGGCTAGCTGGACGTGAAACACAGTCTCCCAAGATCTCAATCCGCTGTGCCTTTTTTATGGATAGTGAGCATAAGTGCCTGTAATTGCACCAGTAACTGCCATGGTTGAAAAGTCCAGGCCTTTTTTAGTCACCACGCAGTGAATGAGGTAAACTCTGAGAAGGAAGAACCCGTGTTTCTTTAACTTACCTCTTGCATCGCCTCACACAGCTCTCTGCATAGAGGGAACTTTCAAAGCTCTCTTCTGAATAAGATCAAATGTTGCAAGAAAAAGCCAGCACAGTTTTTAAAAGAAGGCTTTGCTCACTACCAAATGTAAGCTAGTTCGAGCCACGGCGTTTTCATGTCCTATAACAAGGAAATCAGATGCTGGTTATGACTTTGTTACTGCCGCTGCTGTTCATGGTCTTCTCCCAGGATAGAAGTGTGCTTGGGCACTTTCTCCTAGTAGAGCGAAGACCTGGAAGGGGAAATGCAAACCCTCGTCAAATGAACATGTCTGGGAGCCTCACAGAAGGTGTTCATGAAAACCTGAAGCGTTCTTATCCCTGGGTTGTATAACTCCAAATTCATTTTAAATGTCTGAGAGGCAGCTTAAAATTTCCTATTGTCTCTCTAGGCACCGTGGTCATTAGTTATTTCAGCATAAAAGAAAATCCACATATAATTTCTAGTCTTTAGATTACTCTTTACTTTAAGAGGAGGACTCTACATTTTTTCCTAATTTTGAAAAACAAATTTCTGGAAATATGGATGACCAGATGGATTCTGGTTTTTTAGTATGACAGCATGCATACAAATGTATGTCTCAGGCTGTCTATTAGCTGTCTCGTTTTTGCTTTCTAGTTTTTATCCTTGAACAGTAAAGCTATTCAAGGAGGTAAAATTTGCCACTTGGAAGTTAGTGTGACAACTCTCATTGTATTATTCCTTTTTCCCCCCACTTTCTAGAAGGCAGACCTTCAAGTCCTGATGAATGAAGAAAACAGCAACATAATCTACATAAATAATTAACCACCTGGTACCCCAGCAGGAAACATGTAGGGCTCATCCTTCTGTCCTTGGGACCCTTAATTTGCTCCACACTGAAGCCCTATCTACTCCCTTCCACTGATCTCCTTGCCTCTCCTGGGCTACACCGAAACCATTTACAGCACTTCTATTTGAAAGAGCCAGGGTTTTCTGTGTTTTGTTTTGTTCTGTTGTGTTTTCAATGCATCAGGGGTGTGAGAACAGAGTTGTCACTCTCTGTGGCCACGTGAGCCTGTCCCAGGTAAGGCTCAGGGTGTCCCTCAGGTCAGCCTGTGATAAAACCCAAGTCAAACAAGGCTGAATCCTGGCTGTTTTATGGTCTAAGATTCTGACCTCAGGTCTCGGCCAGCCCTGACTCTCCAGACCTCACATGGTCATCTAAGCAGTAACATGAATGGGTGGAAACTCGCTCAAGGACCACTGATGTGGAGTGGGACTGGCGAAAGTACAGCCTTGCCATGGAGCAGCTACTGTCTGCCCAGCCACTAAAAATAAGGGGGAAGGTGTTGATTACTGCAACAGACAAACTAGAGGACGTGGCTAAATGCCCAAGGCTGACAACCTCTGCATCTTATCACTGCCATCCAGCCGAGGTACCTGTGAGTTCTGTCAGCCCAAAAGAATTGAGAAACAACTTGCCTTGCAAAACTCTGCATTTCAGCAAAATCTTGACAATGCCAACAGCTCATCATCTCCTGTTTTTCAACCCTGCAGAAAATGGCCTTCCAGCCTGGGACAAACCGAAGCCCTGTCCAGACGGCGACCGCGACTGGAAGCTAGGAGGGATGTCTGAAACCTGCCTGCACAGGAAGAGCCATCCGGACAGGCGCAGCGCGTTGAAAAACGAACAGTCATCACCACATCTCATCCAGGCCACTTGGACGAGCTCCATCCTCCACCTGGACCCCGAGGACGTGAGCGATCAGAGCGTCTCGAGTGCCCAGCCCTTCCAGACGGAAGAGAAGAGATGCAAAGGTAACTAAGCTTTTTCTCTTTAAGAACATGATCGTGTGTTTTAGCAAGGAAAACCACTCTGTTGCACCTGTGCGCTCAGTCGCCATTTCTTCGAGGGGTCCTGTCTGGGTGTTTTCCCCAACTGTTCTGTGATGAGCATTCTTGATCCCCAAACCTTCTTTTTAAACATCAATAAGTGGGATCCAAAGAGAGCAGTGTGCTTCGGTTTCGTGTTGCGTTGGGACATCTGGGGAGAAGACGTTTTTATTTCTCTAATTAGCAGAAGCATGGTTGGTTTTGGCTTTCATTCTGTTTTTGGATCCGAGTAAAAACAGACATGGCTATAGTTATATAACTTCCAGCTTTGGGTGTGTGCGTGTGCGTGTGCGTATGTGTGTCTTCCCAAGGGTACCAGTAGCTAAAGGGATTTTAAAGCCTACCTTTAACCCAAATAGACAATTCATGCTCAAAAGAGAGGTTTTAAGTTGTTGTCTTTTACGTAGGAAATCCTTGTGTCATCCTGAAAGGAGAGATTATGGTGTTAACAGGTTGTCACCTCATAAGGGAGAAAAAAAAAAACTGTTACAGCAGCCTAAGTTCCCACTTGCATGAGATTAAACCGTCTTTGCCTCAAGTGCCCTCCACCCTGACAGATGTCTTCATGCTGATCACTTTATTGTCTTAGGGCTCCCAAAATCTTGGCTTCTTAAATCGATTTGTGTCTTTAAACGTCCAAGTTCATGTACCTTCCCATTGTATTTTTCAATTTTCAAGCTTAAAGAAACAAAAAAAAAGATCTTTGGTGTTTTCGTTAAGGGTTGGAACTCGTGGTAAAATTTGGTGTGTTGAAAAATTTTGCAATCATATGCCAATGTATAAGAATGTCAGTGTATAAAGCATCCTATATATGAGCCATGAAGTTCTTTTACAAGCTGTTCCAAGGAATGTGAACACATAATCATTTTCATCATTCTTGCCAAAGAGCTGATCTTTTAACTTTTCTGAAATACATGGGAAGCACCAGGTTACTTGGGAAACTGAGTGTGCAGATTGTCCCAGTTGAAAATATTCAAATAGAATGGTGAGATCTGGTTATGAGCTCTGATAGGAGAGCGATCAGTGTCCCATTTGGAAAGATTGGTGTTTGAGCTGTCTCTCAAATTTATTAGTAGGAAAGTGGAGAAGTTAAAAGGAATATTTAGAAAAAGAGCTAAACCAGGTTTTTTTCAAAGGAGTCAGGATGTAGGTGAGGTATACCTGTGTGAGCACGCCCACGCATGCACATTTGCTCAAAATACAATCGAGACCGTCTTAGCACTTGTGACTAGATCGTATCTTCAGATTTTATGGGTTAACATTTAAACAGGGCCAGTCTTTGGTTGACAGTGAAATAGTAAGAGGAAACGCTAGTGTCCTCATGACTTAGGGGCCCTGTGAACTAAGATGGATTCATCACAGTGGTACCCATAGCCGCTCATTCATTCATTCACAGAATCCGTCTATGTTTATCACTTTTCAGTAACTTAGTCCCCAACCTACACCTTTCACTTTGTTGGTGCACATTAAAAGCAAGAAGAAAGGGTCTGTGTCGAAATCCAAGACTCTAAGTATGGTACACTGGTTAAGACCACACATTTTTGAGACTGACATATTTTGGCTAGAATCCCAGCCCTTCCACTTTCTGTCCATTGGCAAACTTATCTGATTGTTGAAATAATTCAACAAGATCACATATGCATGCATTTAGCATAGTACCTGACACTTGGTGCTCTCTGAAGAGCAGCTCTCATTATTGCTATCACCATTATGATTAGGGATGCGACATTACATCAAATAAATTCTTTGCCTGGCGCTGTGTGGCTGGCAAGGAATGGAGCAAGGAGCATGACAGACAGCTGTAGGGTGGAGCAGACCATTTCCAGGTGGTTAGAGTTGATGATCCATTTTGTATTCACTCAGCTCTCTTTCACTGAAAGTCAGAAAATGGTTTAATATGAAAGTAGAAGTAAATTATTAAAGTCATTTCTCAAGATTCTAGTATTCCAGGAGAAACCACTAAGGCAAACTGTCCTGTGGTTCCCACAGGAACCCCAGAAGCTGCATGATGTGGGCATGAAGCAATGCCTTTACTCAACGTGAAAATGCCACTAGGAAATCTACTCCTCATGGCCCCAGAATCTTATAAATTGAATTTCTCTCCCTCAAATGAACCCTTGATTTAGTGAGGCACCAGTGAGGCCAGGAAAACACTGTGGTTCATTGGCTTTTTTTTTTCCTTTCTGGAGTTGGTTCTTCTCCATCTACTATGCTTGGCTGTTACCTCCATGAGAGTACTCCAAAAAAGTTTGTGGAATAATGGAAATTAAAAATAAATTAATTTTGTTACAAAAATTTTTATATCCATGCATACTTTTTCCATAATACACATTTCACATGAACTTTTCAAAGATCCCTGATATGAACAGGTTTCAAAAAATTTTTTTAAGATTTGTTTATTTGAGGTAGAGTTACAGACAGAAAGAGGGATAGACTGTGGACAGGTCCTCCATCTGCTGGTTCACTCCGCACATGGCCACAATAGCCAGAGCTGGGCTGATCCACAGAGCCAGGAGCCTCCTCCAGGTCTCCCATGTGGATACGAGGGCCTAAACACTGGGGCTATCCTCCATTGCTTTTCCAAACCATTCGCAGAGAGCTGGCACCCATAAGGGATGCCAGCGCCACAGGCGGAGGCTTAACCTACTATGCCACAGCACGGGCTCCTCAAAATTTTTTGCTCCAAGATCAAGTTCCCCTTTAATTTTTGAAGGACCTCATACACAAGCGCAGTCGCTGTCAGGGGAGTTCTTTTTTGATGCCCTTCACGCTGTATGCTCATTTCCTGGCTGGCTGTTATACCTAATACCTCAATCCTGGGCGGCAGTTCCATTCATTCATCCACCAGTGGCTACTACATGCACTACATTGTCCTTTTGTCCAAGTACAGAGTCATAGCAGTGGCTCCAGAAGGACCCCAAATGAATCAATAAGAACCAAGTGTCCTGGAAGGATACAGAAAGATTAAAGTCTACAGTGCAGGGTGCTGCTTGAAGTTGTGAAATAAACCCATCTCCCCAAGTGGCCAGGCTAAGCCAGTACAGCTCTGTGGTTTGTGGGTAGGACTCTTCTGCCGTCTGTCTATTACCACTCTCTACTGATGTGAGTACAGAAATTGAGGATAAACTGCAGGAGCTCTGAGAGAGGCTGAGCATTGCAGCTGACATGCAAATACATGATCAGCGGAACCATCCCTCCAAGCAGGGTGTTGAGTGTTGTCAGCCTCGCCCGGTCAGTCACATGTGCTCAGAACCATGGTTCTACTGTGCAGTAGTACTACTACACAACACAGCCCTGCGCTGAACCAGGCGTTGGTCCAGAATGGACCAGATTTGTTTTTAATGCTTTTTCACTTCAAATAGCTATGGAACCATTGATTTATGTTTCTAGTAATCTTAGGTGTTTTTTTTTTTTCTTTAGGATTATTTTTGTTTTGTATCTCGCGTTATGTTTTTCATCCTGCTCTGAATACTGGTTCTCTATTCATTGGCTCCTGTGCCCCTGTCTGCTGCAAGCATTTTAACTAAATTAATTGTAACACATTTAGCCAGAATGGAAGCTGGAGCCCTCACATTCTACTACAGAGCCCACAGCTGGAGTGTGCGCAAGTATCAGAGTCTGTCCGGTGGGAACAAGTGACGCTTCACTTCCCCACACACCCGGCTCCACCCACACCTATCCCCCATCTCCATGCCCTTGAAGTTGCTGTGCTAATGTGAGCCGATTGCTCAGCCATGTGGACCACATCCTGTTCCTTGTCCATCTCCTCCCTTCCCAGGGTCTGACATGCGTACTCAACGCTGCTCAGAGTCTTGTCGGCCAACCAGTGGCACCAGCAGCACCTGGGCGTTGTTAGAAATGAGTATCTCGGGCCCCACCCGCACTACTGAACTGCAAGCTGGGGAGTGGAGCCCAGAAATCTGCGTTGAACCAGCCCTCCAGAAAGTGCTTAGTCTAGGAAAGGGTGTGCCACCTAGTGGGCACTCGGGGAATGTACATCTTTTCTTTCCCTCCTTGATTGTACTCAGGAAGACTTTGAGTTGCTTATTTCTTGATTGGGCCTGGCCTACCTTAATGGCCAGTTGCAGGGTCAGCTGCTAATCACGCCACCTGGGAACACTCAACCCTGAGACTTGTGGCTTTCTGAAAGTGCCACACTGTTAGCCTGGAGCTCTGATCCTCTCCTGAGTTTTTGCAAGGCCTGTCCCCTCTGCCATCTCATGTCCTCTCCCACCAGTCCCACAGGGATGCTTCTGGACAGAGGCCTGGAGGCCTGGAGCTGGACCTCACCAGTCCTGAGGAACCCAGTCAGGTCTCCATCCTTTGTGGGTTTTTTATTTATTTATTTTATTTTTATTTATTTATTTATTTTTTGACAGGCAGAGTAGACAGTGAGAGAGAAAGAGACAGAGAGAAAGGTCTTCCTTTGCCGTTGGTTCACCCTCCAATGGCCGCCACGGCCGGCACGCTGCGGCCGGCGCACCGCGCCAATCCAAAGGCAGGAGCCAGGTGCTTCTCCTGGTTTCCCATGGGGTGCAGGGCCCAAGCACTTGGGCCATCCTCCACTGCATTCCCAGGCCACAGCAGAGAGCTGGCCTGGAAGAGGGGCAACCGGGACAGAATCAGGTGCCCCAACCCAGACTAGAACCTGGTGTGCCGGAGCCCCGACCGGGACTAGAACCCGGTGTGCCGGAGGATTAGCCTAGTGAGCCACAGAGCCGGCGGAGGTCTCCATCCTTTGACGTTTGCCTGTGCTGTCACTCAGGCCCTTCCTGGTGGCAGACACAGGGCAGGGACTGACCCATCTCGCTGCCTGTATCTGAAGAAAGATGGCAACAATCTGGTGACCTCGCTGGGACTTCCCCACAGGTCTGCTCGATTCTGAATATCAAAATCCCAAGTCTCAGATATGTAGGGAGGCAAGA